AATTTATTAACTTTGAGTTATGTTATGATAATTAATGCACACTTGGTATGATCTGAATATATTTGTGGGGAGACATTTGACATTTCAGAAAACATTCAGGGCAGAGCATGGGATCACCTGTGGTGTTCTGCAAATAACACTTCCACCCCCATTCTTCTCACTGTTTCCAGCAGTCAGCCCACAATTACAGAAATCCAGCACTAGTCAGTAGTTAGGAAATTGTTTAATGAGCACAATAATTGTTCTCTTTAATTTGTTTACCATATGAATTCTATTCTTTCCATATTCTGGCTAAATAAAGTTTGGAATTGATGCCACAGCCTCTTAATCCAGTTAGGATAGCTGCTTCTTGGCCTGATATTAGCAAGTAGCTTTTTCTTAAGTACTGTGTTTCTTTTTATAAGTAAGTATATGCATAAAGATTATTGATGGTGAATTATTTAGACATCTGATACTAGGGAAGAATTAAACCTCTTTAATGATATCTATTCTATTGAAAAACTTAAGTTTTAAATTTTATAAAGTTTTTTGTAATATCCAGTTGAATGTCTTTTAATAGTGTGCTTTCTTAATAATGTATTTAGTACTTGAGGGGTCATGAGTTCAATTACAAAAGACAGGTGAACTTTCTATACTAATTGGCTTTGATATATGAGACCATGTATGTTCTTCACCTTTGACACCCAATGTTAAAATTAGGTTTATTTTATTGTATTTATTTACATCTCGGAAAAGCAGCAACTGCATATTTTTCAATCTAATGTTGTCTTAAAAGGTGACTGTAGAGAATTCTTCTGTTCGTGTTGTTTGGGGTATGTGTATGAGAGGACAAAAAAGAGAGTGTTAAATACTCGATATTACCTAGTTTAATATATGACTATTTTTCAAGTCCATGTTTTTAATCCAATTTTCCTTCAAAACACTTCACTTTTTTTTAACACTAGAAGAGAAAAAAAACCTTTTAGCAGGAGGCAACATGCAAATTAGTTGGGAAACTGAGTTGAGAAACTGTGAGATTAGGTTTGGTTGGTGTTTGGATGGCAGACTCCATCGGATACTATAGTTGTAGACTAGACTGAGAAATAAAAAAACATCCTGGAAAAAGAAACTATTTCTATTTTATTATAACAAAATTTTATGGAGAAATCAGTGAAGTCAAAAGGAATTGAATTGTACACCAAATATTAAGATAGATCATGTGATAGGTGTCAAGGGAAGGTTGCCTGAATTAATATTTTGTTTTCTTTTTGCTTTTGCACATTGGAATGAACAAGATATCATCAGTGTAGCTAATGAATGGAGGAATTCTTCACTTCCAAATGCTTACATAGTTCATACAGTGTATGTATAGTATAGTAATTTGCATAGATATTCTTCTCTTAATCTTTCACATATTTGGAAAAGGAAGTTGGAAGAGTCTGATCATTTGTATAAAATACAATATTGATAAATTAACTTTAAAATGGGATGTGTTAATTATTTCTTCGATTATTCCAAGTTTTGATAAAAATTAATTTGAAAGCATTTTGTGAATGATTACTATATATGATATATACCCTCTAAAAAGTCTACATCTAGAATACTGAATAATATAATATTGATGTTGTATCAAATGAAAAAAATATACTGTTGCAAAATATGATTATGAGTGTTTAAATCATTAAACTAAGTCTTCCTGGTAATGATTTAAATCTAAATTTAAATATTTAATACCACAAAACACTTTTGATCTGATAAATAGAGCAGTTGGTAAATGCCTTATTGTGAAATTAAAAATGGTGGAGGTAGAATAGAACTCAGAAATACACCATAAATTTATTTATTTATTTAATTTATATTGCAGCCTATTTGCCCATGGCGACTTTCAGAGCAGTTATTCCTGTTCTTTGAAAATGTTCAATTGAAAAAAATATCTTCTGGTATAGATGCTTTCTATTCCACTCCAGTATCTTTGTGGTTTTTGCCCTTTTCAGTATTCTGTAAGTGATGGTTTTTATCTGTTATGGCTGGAAAAGATAATTTCGATGTCAATTGTCCATGCTTTAGAAACTTCTAGATTAAACTATTGTAATTGTTTCTAGATGGGATAGGTTTTAAAAACAGTTCTGTAACTTCAGTTAGTGTAATTGGCACTGAAAATCTGTTATTTGAGATTTGAACCATGGTTAATTTTAAATGCTAGTAGTAGGTGTCTATACATTTGATAGGAGTTTTGGAGAGAGCCACAGAAAATATATTTTGACATTAAAATAAAAATTATCAAGAAATTCTTTTCTTCTAATTTAAAATGGCTCCTTTTTCGCTCTCATACACCCAACTTCAACAATGCTAATAGAAATCTGAAAATATGATTCACATTCTGTGATTTAATGCATTTATATGGTTCATATTATGGTCTTCTCTGAAATAATTTTTGAGGTTTTACTGAACCTCATTAAGCCTTAGTCATTTTAGTAATTTTTCATCAACTTCAGATGAAACTGTCACCATTTTTTTCAGAATTCCAGTGAGCAAGATTCCAAGCAGTAATTATTGAAAAATATAATCTGCTTATTATTCAGATATATTAAAGCAATTTTAAATGTTTCTTTGTTTATTTATTTAGAAGTTTTTTATTACTGTCCAACTTGTATGATCATGTTTCTGGACAGTGTGCATCACATTTCCTAATGTAATTTAGGAAAACTAAATTACAGTTAAAACTTGCAGCATCAAGAACTAGATGTCAACTTTTTTCATGTCATCATGAAATAATGGTGCTTTGGTCAGGAATAATAGTGAAGCATTGGATGTTCAGCAAAGTTTAAGCAGTTCAGAGTGAAAAGGTACACTGAATACATGCACCCTCGAAATGTCTTGCACTTTTTACATACATGTAGGTAAAGAAAGCAAGGCAGGGCAATCCTGATTATTACCTGGAGGAGGTACCCTCCGGTAACCTGAAGGCTATAGGCTAGACTGGGAAGTTATTGTTTTTTAATCCCCATAAAAAGACAAATCACTTCATATCCTTACCAAGAAAACTGCATCAATGAGGGAGCTTTATTACCACATAGAGCCTCACAGAATGTAATTAATTGCCAAGGGATTCTTATAGTACAAGCTATGATTGGATTTTCACTGGATGATAAGATCAAGTTATGGTTTTTTTATTGCTCTCAATTGGGCAAGATTTCCCTTCAGTGGAAAGAGAGAATCTCATACGTTTAAACCGTTTCATCTACAGGCTGATTTTAGTTATTTAATTAATTTGAAAGACTTATAGGAGTGAGTGACTGCAAGCAGTTGACAACGATTTAAATAAATAAGAGCAACCAATCATGCTGCCAAGGTCTGACTGAGAACACTCCTGAAACATGCATATCATTTACCAGAACACCTGTGTGTGTTTGTAAAGAACAGCTCCCTGTAGAATGCATAACAGCAATCCAATTGGAAAGTCCCTGGGGTATGAATAATTGTGGGCAGGACTTCCCAGCCCACAAACTGGGTAATTTGCACACAAAATGAATTGCTTCCTTGTGCAGCTTCCCCCCACCCCCTTCAAACTTTAGTTGCCACCTGTTCTTCAAGTAAAAGGAGGACTTACAAATCCAATCTAGTGTTGAAATGAAAAACCTGCACATTCAGGGGACCCGAAGACTACTCCCACCTGCTATGGTTGAGTCATGGTCTGCTTGTCCCTTTTTAGGTTTTGAAATCCTGCAGACACTGGATAAATTTCTCAACAGACTCCCTTGGTTTAAAAATGTACAGCTGAGTATTTGATAATAATTTTGATGATGAATTTTCCTGTGCCAATAAATAACCTTGCCTATTGGTAGATGTTAAATTTGGATGAAGAGAGTTGTAATGATACAGGGCAATGACATTGGGAGATAGGTGGTAGAGTTCAGTCTGCAGAAGGTATGTGGGCATGGCAAACATCTCAGAAGGTACCCTCCCTAGTTTTTTGGACTATAAAGGCAACGGGGGTGGGAGGTTGTCTTCTATGAGAAATGAAACATTTTCAAGGAAAAACTGAAGAAAGTCCAGTTGCCTTTTGAAAAGTACCTTTGGGACAACCATGACCTGGTTGATTGAGAATCTCCATAAACAGTCATCCGCAAATGTGGCCAGTATGGTTATGGTTCTATGACCCAGCCTAAACCCTGGCTGAAGACTCTAGATAACTGCTTCCTCCAGGACTTGTTGAACTGAGCATCTAGCGCCTCTAAACAATTTTATTTTAAAAAGGAAATTCTAAAGAGATTGAGTAGCAGTTTTCAAACATTTTTTTTAAGGAGGGGTTGACCACAGCCTACTTCAAAACAAGTGGAGCAAACCCCTCTCGCAAAGAGGTACTAACCGCCATTTGGAACCAACTGCACCACCAACTGTTCTGGAGGCCTTGACCAGGCAGGACATAAATCCAGAACTCAGGTGGTAGAGATCATAATGTCAAGGACTCTTATTTATTTTTTCAGGAATAACAAGCAGGAACTTGTCCCAGATAATGGAACAAAATCAAACATCAGTCACCTCTATAGAACCAGCCAGAATTCAACTCAGAGTGAATCTGAGAAATTTTAGCTAACAGATTAGTAGTCCACACAGTGACCCAGTAAGGACTCCCTAGCCTTTCTTGTACCCAAAAGGGATCTGATCATATGAAATAAGTCTACAGACCTTCAGATTCATTAGAACGGAGATTTAAGCCCATTTCACTATTTTTATTACCCAAAATAATTCCTAATGTAGATGTTTATCTGTGCCCAGTAGGATTCGTTCTTCATCTTGCTTCAGTACTGCTCCAGGTCAGCAATTCTCAATTGCGAGTCATATGGCCTCCTTAGAACCCCAGGGCATTTGAAAGGGGCACACAGGTGAAAAACATGTAACAGGAGGTCATAGTATGTATGAAGGATGCCACAGAGAAACAAAATATATAATACTGCATTTGTCTGACTCTATTTTTTCATTGGACAAACCAATTTTTCACTCTAAATCTTGCACTGCAGGCCTTTGAAAACTTCCACTTGGCAGCTGGCACAGGACCAAACCCAAGATACACAACTTATCACAGTTGATCAAAAATTGGTAAGGCTTTTCTGATGCATATACTCCCTTGAAGATATTTCTGTGTATCAGGTTCTACAAATTGTATACTGGAGTTGAGAATCAATGTAAGTGCAATTGCCAGATATCAAAGTTCTTCAAGTAAAATACATAGTGTGGTAACTTATCAAAAAGTGTTCAAGTTAAAAAATGGTCATAAGGATACATGGAGGCTTAATATGTGGACTCCATATATTTAATCATATATTATGAAATTAAGCATTATAACTTCAGTGGTACTTCAGGACTTGTTATTAATTAGTTCCGGGAAGCATGACAAGTACCAGAAAAAACAAATACCAAACAATTTTTTTCCATAAGGAATAATGTATTAGTCATGAGGCAATCGACAAGTTCTAGTTTGCTCGTTGAGTATCAAACAAATGAGTATTGGAACAACATTTTCATGTCAAAATGTGTCAAGTACCAAATTCAATGAGTTTCAAAGCAGTTGAGTACTGACATACCACTATACCTACATTATGTTTAGGAAGCAATGTTTTAATATGCAATGTGCCATTTGAAATACTTCTCTGAATGAAATTATAAAGTCATATATGATTCAATAATAGTTATTAAAATAACTATTGTTAGATTGACCCTTTTTAAAGAAATGTAATAAAAATGAACCTTATAAATTGATTGTAAAATCTCATATATTCTGTCAAAATGTGCATGAAGGATCACAATTAAAAACAACTGTATAGCATTCTTTTGTTAATCATTACCAGTTCATAATTTTGGCAGTTTTTAAGTTCCAGTGTATTACAATGTGTGGCCTATTGCCAAAACAGTGATGCTTTAATATTTATGCTTATATTATTCATTAATTGGATTTTTTTTTGTAAAGCATTGTAGGGGCTTGATGTATCATGGCTTTCATAATAATCTCCATTGACATTATTGTGTTTTATTTTTGGAGGTGAAAAATAGTAACAAATCTCTATCGAGGCAAATACAAAACACACTTAGAATAGATCTGTATAACTTCACTTCTTTTTTAAAAAACGAGTTTTAAAAGCTTACAATAATAATGGAGCTTTTGGCAGGGATAATTTTGTCACTTTCGACTACTATTTTGACACAATGCAAGTTCAGGACTGTATCTAATTTTTATTGGCAGGGATGATTATTTGCAACTGCCATTCCATAAATTTAAAGTTAAAAGCAGAAGGAAGTGTTCTTATTTTTTCATCCTATTAGGATGGCTGGATTGAGTTGCACAAAAGTAAGGAAAATAGTTAAAATTAAGGGAAATGTATTTCTTTGTGTGAATTTATCACGGTTATAATTGATATAGACAAATTTTTCCTATTCATTTTTGGGGCATTAAATAAAAAAGAGGTGCCAGTTTAATATATAACATTTCCCTTTAATAAGGTATACTTCAGTTAAATTTTATTTTTTTTCTCAAATATTTTAACAAATGCAGTCTCAACTTTTCAAGTTGAAGCCAATGTATTGTATAACTTTAATTGAATTATTTACTAGTTGTAACTAATATTTTTCCCTATTTTCTTCTGTATAGTAGCAATTCTTAGAATTAGTAAATGAGGCAACATTTTGTAATAACTGCTAGATTATGAATCAAAATGTCGACTGACTCTATTTTGCCAATGATATTTTCTGTTGGATGGTTTCATTCAATTTAAGTAATAGAATTCTATGTCTGGTAGAAAATTATTTTGCTATGAAATTCTGCATATCTTTTAATTTAGACCAAAGGTCGAGGAACTGAAAAAGCTTCTTGGATGAGAAGCGAAACATTTTCAAGGAAAAAACCCAAGAAAGTCCATTTGTCTTTTGTAAAAGCATCTTTGGCACAACCATGAAATGTATGATTAAGAATCTCCATAGACATTTTAAGTTGGAGTATTTTAAACATTCTAATAACTTGCTAATCCACAGATTGCATTTCTCTCTCTCTCTCTCTCTCTCTCTCTTCCTCCCTCCCCTCCCACTCCCTTCCTGTGTTTATGTATGTATGTCTAGGAAGGTAAAGTGGAAGAGTTCTAATATAGTACCATCCTACATAGCATTCTCATTTCATACTAAACAGCAAGCTTTATCTAAACTATCAATTGGAGTTCTAGAGATCTGAGATGTGGCTGAAAGTTACTTGATCTTATGTTTTCAGACTTACAGGTGGCTCCTCTAAGGTTTCTCTGTTTGGGGAAATTATCCTGTTACTGATGTGAGATTTCATTGGTGATCTCCCTCAGTGACACTTAAAATGATTTATTGTCTCACATATGAAACAAAAGTAGTTCCAATGCTGTTGTATAAATTACGTTTCTCCTTGTGTGTTACAAATGGTTTTCCTTCAACTGTTTCTGCAGGCTTTGGGCCTGAGTCACCATGTCAGTAGGTCTTTTAATTCAGCTGAAATTTTGAATTTGTTGGTAGTATTATCTCACTATTTTCCATTTAAAACCAGAAACATATAGAAGTAGCTGTCTTTATTCAGTTTTATTCTAAAATATGTTATGTATGTAGTAGGTACTATGAGATTGTTGTTAATAATATTAGTGTATAATTATTACTAAAATTATTATTACATCATAAATATGATTGTAAATTATTGTGTTAGATAAATCTTCATATAATATTGAAAGTGGAATTCTTAACATGCTAGTTTCCCTAATGCTCTACTTTTCCACAAGGAAAAAAGAGAGAAAACATTTTCTAACATTATGGACTTCAGTCAGAAAATATTCTGATGTAGATTTGACCAGTTAATCACAACAATGTGTGATCTAGTGCAGTGGTGGCTAACCTTTTTGAGCTCCTGTGCCAAAAATTGTGCACACTTACGTGCCAGCATCCAGAAGGCATGTGCGCACAATCCACACCCCTTACCTGCACTGGACCTCCCAGCTAATTTTTGGTGTCCCAGGATTGAGGAAAGCTTCTGAAGCCTGAAAAATAGGCCCGTTTTGTCACTTCCGGTATTTCCAGAAATAGAGGAAGTGATGAAAGCCTGGGAGGCCGAAAAAGGCCTCAAACCAGCCAAAAATCAGCTGAGAGGTAGGCACATGTACAGTGAAGTAAGTTTGCCTGTGGCTCGCGTGCTGTCACAAATGGCTCTGCGTGCCACCTGTGGCACGTGTGCCAGAGGTTCACCATCATGGATCTAGTGTATAAAAGGAAGGATATTATAATACTTCATAATAGGTACTAGCACTTTTATACCATCTGTGTAGTTTAGTCTCAGACAGTCTAGGCTACCTTTGCTAAACTAACTCAGCTCAAGTTATCTTAGAGGGTGACTAAGTTCAGTTCAGCTTTTATTCATAGAATGGAGAAGACAAATTTTATTCTCTTCTAATCTATGGTTTGTCCATCCATAGTGGTTAGTGAGGACCAGCAGTGCAAGACTATTTTTCATGGTTTCTCTTCCTGTGGGGGTCCTGAAAGCCTTGCTTCTTTGATCTGCTTGACCTCAGCCTGCAGATGAATGTATATTGCCAGTTGAAATATTTGTCTTTATCTTGGGTTGGTTTTGTTTAGAGGCCCAAAAAGAAAGTTCATCGTGACTTTTGTTTGGGAATTTCTTGTAGACTTCAGTAAATGTTCTAGAGCTTAGTGACATGATAATGTAATAAAATGTGTTCATTGTTTTAAGTTTAATGGTTGTGGATTTCTTGGTAAAAAATCCACACTGATAACCTTGACAAAGGCAAGGATAACATAAACTGGACCAATTTACCATTAGGAAATTGAAGGAGTAAGGACCAACTTGCTACCAATTGTCAAAGGTTGTAAATTAAGCTTATCAAATGAAAAGGATAAGTAAATTGGAATGGGTTTTTATGATTTAGAATTTGGGGCTTTATTTTCTTCTGACTCAAAATCAGAACATATTCAGAAAACATTCTGTTCTTGAAAAGCTACATTATGGCTTTTGCATATGACGATTATTAGAGAACTTTAGAAATCTTGTAAAACAAATGAACACTCCACCTCTCCATCCCCAGTGTGGGACAAATCAATTACGTCAATGAAATTCTTGGAGTCATGTTATTCCTTAAATATCTTGGAAATAATACGGTATGCAAATTAACTTATGTTGTGCCATCAGATATGTGATGTGAAGTAGCAGAATTACAAAAATGTAGACACATGGATAGGAAACAAATAGATTGCATTTGTTGATACCTAACAGTCTAAATATGGAACAGGCCACAGACTTTTGTACTACTACTTTACTTCCAGTAGTGCAAGCCAAGCCACTCATATTACTGAAGATTTATCTCAAATGGACTGTCCAGTTCAATCCAACTACATATACTGTAATGCTGTTGCTTGCTACTCATCCCTATACTGAATAACACTCCTCAAGAGTACCTTGCGTAGCCAAGAACAATATTGTTGTTGCTTAATTTATATTATGAAGAGTTCTGTTTGTTTTCCCTTTTTAGCTACTGAAGATTTGTTTTACTGTTCTGTGTCCATCCAAATATATTTTTGTAGCTTGTACCAGTTCAAAGCATAGTTGAGGACAGCTGTACCTTGGACACGGGCAGTGGAAGGATTATTATAACCTTATGACCAAAGCTTTGTATTTAAACTGAAGGTTGTGTCATTGACAAAAGAGTCTTTTCTTCTTTGTCTCTGACAAAGATTTACTGAAAAAATATATAGAAAAAAGTGTAGTCTTTGTGAAATAAATTGGCAAATGAGAGTGCAACTTTGGTTATTTTCAAAGAACTTTTAAATTATTTTTATTTCTATTGTTTTATTTCAACGTAATTCTTATATTTACATAAGAAAGTTCAAACAAGTTTTGCATTTTTGCCACACTTTATTAACAATATTTTTCTATTCTGGCCAATTTTATGGAATGTCTGTGTAAGTCAGTCAGTCAGTCTGTCTGCCCCCCCCACCTCTTTCTCTCCCCATTTTTCTAATATAAATACAGTGCATAAATATGGGTATTCGCTCTCTCACACACATACAGTGGGAAATTTCTGAATGTCTTC